CAGGCCCGCTCCTCCTCCCCCCCCCCCCCCCCCCCGGTGTGAGGTCAAAGGACGAGGCGGAGGTCTTACCTTGACAGGACGCGATGTTCACCGCTGGAAAGAGAATAAAATGTACAGATTAGTCACAAGCATGAGTATGTGCGAGCATGTTTATTACACTTCTATGTTGCGTCATGTGACTGATGTCCCCCTACAGGTCCAGGCTGTGCCATGTGACTGATGTCCCCCTACACTTCTAAACTGTCATGTGACTGATGTACGCATTTACTGGTTCTGGTTCACTACACACTCCTAGGCTGTGTCATGTGACTGATGTCCCCCTACAGTTCCATCTTGTGTCATGTGACTGATGTCCCCCTACAGTTCCATCTTGTGTCATGTGACTGATGTCCCCCTACAGTTCCATCTTGTGTCATGTGACTGATGTCCCCCTACAGTTCTATGTTGTGTCATGTGACTGATGTCCCACTACAGGTCCAGGCTGTGTCATGTGACTGATGACACAACATAGAACTGTAGGGGGACATGTGACTAATGTCCCCCTACACTTCTAAACTGTGTCATGTGACTGATGTACGCATTTACTGGTTGTGGTTCACTACACACTCCTAGGCTGTGTCATGTGACTGATGACCCCCTAAACATCTATGTTGTGTCATGTGACTGATGTCCCCCTACACGTCTAAACTGTGTCATGTGACTGATGTCCCCCTACAGTTCTATCTTGTGTCATGTGACTGATGTCCCCCTACATTTCTAAACTGTGTCATGTGACTGATGTCCCCCTACACATCTATGTTGTGTCACGTGACTGATGTCCCCCTACACATCTATGTTGCGTCACGTGACTAATGTCCGCATTTACTGGTTCACTACACTCCCTCCTAGGTTGTGTCATGTGCCCGTCGGCCGCCGGTTATTCATTGATGTGCACACCTTCAAAAACATGAAACCTTTACAACAAGAAAGCTGCACCCACACAAGGGAACCCTGCCAGGTAGACGCAAGGTCCGCCAATAAACCTGCAGATACAGCCACTTCCTTCTCCTTTCATATTCTGCTGGGATGAGCCGCTTGGCAGAAGAGCTAACGATCCACATCTGACATGGGCCTGACACGGATGGACTGATGAAGGCTCCCCGATTACAGTGAGGACTATAGGTGGATCCTAAATCAGATCGGAGCATCAGTGATAAGCCAGTTCCCCCGCCGGGTCCCACCGTACATGTATTACAGTGATGGCGGGTCCGAGGTCCCAACAACCATCCCTCCAGTGCAACACCACCATTGCCCCCAATGTCCATGTCTGGAATAACACACTACGAGAGGCCTCTCTATACACCGAAGTTCCAGGCCAGAACAGGGGGACCCGTCCAACACCTCCAGGCCCATGAGACATGGGGCCCCAGGCTGCCAGGCACATACACCCAGGGGAACCTTTCTATTCACTGCCAAGCAGATGGACCCTCCCCCACTCATTCCTGACCCAAACCAGCCCCATATCAACACTCCCCAGGTATAGACCATTGTGTATTAGTAGCCCAGAGTCCCGGGTCTACATCTCTAAAAGGTGTTCACCGAATGTATCAACACATGAGAGTTCAACGTTATATGTCACAAGTCCAAAGAATACGGTAATAACATAAAAGCGTTCCGATAACATTTCCAGAACCACCAATCTTCACAGTGCAAGATGGCGGCACTCCCAGATCACATAACATACTGGCAACCCAAGTCCCATCATTGTCTCTATAGCATCTATCCTTGATGGGGGTGGGGGTGTCTCATGCTCCAATGCCTTCCCCCGAGGAGCTCCTCTGCATGATCTTATCACTTCTCCATCTCTCCTCCCACCAGGTCCTCCTATATCTCTTCCTATGGAGGTGAGTGAAGAACATGAAGGCCACCTAGCAATCCCTTGGGACTACCAGACCGCTCAGCTTCCTGAGATGAGAAGGAGGGACGCTTTCCAGCACAATGTATTTTGACAATGGACACACACTTGCCACGCCCCCAAACCATTGGTTAAACCCATTGGCTGTACATCATTACTCTTCCTCTATACTGGCTTTTCACCGCTACATCAATGTGGTCTCCATTCTATCACATCCCTCCTCGTGTGTCTAGTTCGCCAATGCCTTCCCCCGAGGAGGTCCTGAACATGATCATGTCTCTTTTCCATCTCTCATCCCACTTCAGGCTCCTCCCACCAGATCCTCCCATATCTCTTCCTAGAGAGATGGTTGAAGGACATGAAGGCCACCTAGCAACCCTTTCGTGGGACTACCAGACCTTCCAACTTTGGGAGATAAGACAGAGGGGCACCTTCCAGCACAATGTATTTAGACAATGAACACACCCTCGCCACTCCCCCAAACCATTGGTTATACCCAGAATTGTTATCCGCCATTATTTTTCCTCCATACCGACTTTTACACACAGCAAACAAGCCTACTACTTATTGTGGCCTCCATTCTATCCCATTCATCCTCGGGTGTCTCACTCTCGAATGCCTTCCCCTGAGGAGATCCTCTACATTGTCTCCTCCCCATCTCTTGTCCCACTTCTCAGGCTCCTCCCACCAGGTCCTCTTGAAGGACACAAAGGCCACCTAGCAACCCTTTGGTGTGACTACCAGACCCCAAATTCCTGAGATGAGAAGGAGGGACACCTTCCAGCACAATGTATTCAGACAACGGGCCCACCCCTGCCATGCCCCCAAACCATTGGTTATACCCAAAATTGTTGCTGTCCGCCATTACGTTTCCTCGGTACTGACCTTTCCAAATAGCAAACAAGCTCTTCACTGCTACATCAATGAGGTCTCCATTCTATCCCATCTATCCTTGGGGGTGTTTTCACTCTCCAATGCCTTACCCCAAGGAGCTCCTCTACATGACCTCATCTATTCTCCATCTCCCGCCCAACTTCTCAGGCTCCTCCCACCAGGTCTTCCTATATCTCCTCCAAGGCAGATGGTTGAAGGACATGAAGCCCACCTAGCATCCCTTTGGTGGGACTACCAGACCTCTCAACTTCCTGAGATGAGAAGAAGGAAGGACACCTGCCAGCACAATATAATTAGACAACAGGCACACCCCCTGCTACTCCCCCAAACCATTGGTTATACCCAGAATTGTTGTCCGCCATTGCTCTGCCTCCATACTGACTTTTCCAAGTAGCAAAGAGGACATCTGTAGTTGAGACCAACAAGAGGGACAACTTGAGAAGGAAAGGAGGGACTTGGTTCCAAAAGGAGGTCCCTCCAAGTCAGGGACAGGTGGGAGGTATGGACTGCCCATGAAAGGAAAGTCACATCATTGCACATCAAGGCCAAAACCAGCGTAAAGACAGCGACATCTGGTGGTGGCGTCAGAAACTACAAGACACCTCCTCCTAGATCAGGGGTAGGCAACCTTGGCTCTCCAGCTGTGCTGAAACTACAAATCCCATCATGCTTCTGCCTCTGGGAGTCATGCCGGTGGCTTGCAATGCCTTATGGGATTTGTAGTTTCAGCACAGCTGGAGAGCCGAGGTTGCCTACCCCTGTCCTAGATGTATACAGTGGGGCCCCAGAGCCCTGGTACAGGTGAACATAAAGGAAACCCGTCTGCATCCATCACACTGCTGAGCATGTTGGATGGCAGGTCCCCCCCCACCCCATTTCCATACTATGGTTCCATCCAGCAGACCTCATCTCACCATTCTGCCCTGTAGTGATTGAGGGGCCCTGTGGATGAAACC